TCAACACCACCATTCAATCTTCATACTACAATACACGTCGCTTTGTCCCCCTATTTTTGTACACTTTATACAGATTATCTCGCGAGGGATGAATATGGTAGACGTACAGATTTCCTGCACAGGTGTTGGATTACAGGTTGGAAAGGTTAGACGGATTCGTATACGCTGCCTTTCGAAAGTTTAATCGTATTAGCGGAGGTAATTCAAATTTCGAGATCGCCTTTTTAACCCTTTCGCTACTGTCGACGCTTTGGAAATTTACTCGGGTATAGTTTGCCGCTTTTGGTGCACTTCTAGGGTAATTTAATCGTTAATTTTATCGGTTAGGTATTTATAGCTTAATTTGGGGAAACCAATTTTGAGACGATGCAGCGGAAACGAAAGATTTTTGAGAATACTGTGGATATATCTTAAATGGAAATTTTCGATATCGGTTGACAAATTTTAACTCTTTTTAACTCTAACTCTCACATTTTTCCAACTTGGCGCGCCAAAAATGATCAATTTGATGTCATTTTAAATGATTTCCTAGGCGTATAGAAATAAGTTTCCCACTTACTCGCAACGCTGCGACTTCGCTAACTCTTAACTCTTTTTAACCCTTTAACTCTCACATTTTCCCAACTTGGCGCGCCAAAAATGATCAGTTTTCCTTTTTTTAATGATTTCCTAGGCGTATAGAAATAAGTTTCCCATTTACTCGCAACGCTACGACTTCAATAACTCTTAACTCTTTTTAACCCTTTAACTCTTAAGTCTTTTCAACTCTACTCTCACATTTCTCCAACTTGACGTACCAAAAATGATCAATTTGATGTCATTTTAAATGATTTCCTAGGCGTATAGAAATAAGTTCCCCATTTATTCACACACTGTGACTTACATTTCTGCGATAGAACAGAAAAACCAACGCAATGCGAAAGGTAAACCAAAACAGCCAAACAAAACTCCACTTTTTCGAGGATTACCGCACGTGTAAGACACGAGCGACGAGCTTAACGCTTCAATTTACGACCTCGCTAAATCGTTTCCGCAAACTATACATCAGCTCCGGTCTCTCCAGTCAATGAATCAATAGCTTCCTCGTCCAACGCACCGTTCTCATCTCTCCAACAATCTCTCCAAATTTTTCACACCGATCAATCCTCAAATTAAAAAAAATAAAAGAAAAAATAAAGCGGTAATCGAACGACTGAAAATTCCATTGAAATCTTCCGCGCTGCATTAATCACGCTTGAACTTCTCCTAAAGGAAACACCATAGCCGCGAGAAACGCCTGTGCAGTCACAGCCGTTTATCGATCTCGTGATCGCGGTGCTAATTACCCGGGAGAGAGAGAAAGGGAGAGAGAGAGGGGCGGCACGTGGCGAAGATTCGCCGCATCTTGTTGAATAACAAAGAGAGAGAGAGAGAGCGGTGGGTGCGGTAGTGTGTAGGGTGTAGAGTGAGTAGCGGTTGCAGCGTGGAGCTCCGTTTGTTGGACGGTGCAACAAGTCGGGTTAACAGCTGTTTCGGCTGGCGTGCACTGATTGTACGTGCACACGGTGGAGTCGAGTTGGCCGCGGTCCAACTTCCTTTTACGAGTCACTTTCCGATTCGACTAGACGATCCTCCGTCCGCTGCTAGATAAGAAACGCGAGAACAACCACCGACTGTCTTCCTTTCGATCTACGTAGAAAACAACGACCGGAGACGCGAAATTGGGGATTTAAATGGTAAGATAGCGAGCGTTCAGATCTACGTACAACTAGTACCGAAGAACGACTGTTGGAGCGGCGTGTTAACAATTGGAAGCCCGGTCGAAGTTTGGGATTTAAATGGTAACATGGTGATTGGTGCGGCAATCTTGGAGGAATTTGGAATTTCGTAGAAAGATTTGGCCCCGAGGGTGAAAATGTTGATTGTACGAATGGCGAGGCACGCGATCGAGTTAAAGTCGCTGATTGCGCCCGTAATGATCAGACGAGGATCAGATTGCAAGGGAACTGGCCGATCGATGAACGGTTGGAAAGTGAAGTTACAATCGTGAAAGCTCTGTCCCTGTGTGTGTCGGGTTGCGTATCGAAAATTCATGCACCGTTTTAATGGACACGCTCTCGAGGTGATTGGCGGCGACGGGTAGGACGCAAGGACGAGCGTGGCTCACAGAAAATTCCTCGAGCACGGATAATTAAGATGAGACGGTCTATTGGTTGGAAATATGCTCAATTGTGCTGGTATAATTCGATCCTCTGCTGGCTCGGGTTCGAAGAGATGCCACGGTAACAGGTTATCGGAACCGTGTGTATTAAGAGTTGCTCGGCAGTTTGAGAAATGATTTGGAAGTTGTCGCCGATATTGCGAATCTAGGAAAGTTTCCTCTTTTACGTGGCACGATGTTCGAAAGGAGTGAAGAGGGTGAGAAGGTATTGCGGAGATAGATCGTGAAACGTTGGCGAGTGTGTAGGAACGGCGCAAAATATCGCGTGTCGATGGAAATCGAAAACGCGTTTCTTACCTCAGGGACGTAGGCAGAGCTTCGTAAGGTGAAAAGCTTCGAGCCGAGGTCCGAGACATGCACAGCGTTTTGCCTTTAAGGACCCCGGTTCAGGTCCTCGTTGCGTTTCTCTCTTCTTTCCCTTCCAAAGGTCCTTTCTACTACCCCCGTTTCACTAGACACTACTGCGATTCTTCGGTTCGATTCACTTTTCTTCAAGCACCCGCGGTACGATGTAACATCGACGTACGAAGCGTGTCTCGACTGTTTCTTTTTTGTTTTTTTTTTTCCACCTCTGATTGAACCACCAGAGGCGAAGGGAAGAGAAGACGAGAGAGAGAGAGAGAGGCAGAGCGAGGAAAGTGGAGGCAGAGACAGACAGACAGACAGACAGATAGATAGAGAGAGGGAAAGAAAAAGAGAAAGAAAGAACACTCGAACCGGAACGACTCTAACGCTGTCGACCTTTCGACACGGTCGCACCTGCGACGGCCTCTTTGCTCTCGTAGCCGCGGACCACACGTCTTTCTCTCATTGATCTCGCGACATGAGCCACGCGATTATCTGCACGAGGCTGTGACCGAGACGAATCACCGAGCAGCAGAGAAGCGACGCCGGTGCGAAACGCTGACTGAACCACTGGCAAACCACCGAGGGGTGGTCCGTATCGCGCGGAGGTCCCACTACTCTCTCTCTCTCTCTCTCTCTCTCTCTCTCTCTATCTGTCTCTCCCTCCTGCCCTCGCAGCCTCCCCACCCTGTCCCTTATTTCACCCCTTCCACTCTATTTCCCTCGGTATTTCTGTTTTACTCCTTCGTCCCTTTCGTTTTCTATTCTTCAGGTTCTTCAGGTTCCACCCTGCATGCATATATATATATACACATATATGCCTCTCTAACGCGTATACTCGTTTATTCCGTTTCCCTTTGACTCCAGCCACCGTCTCGCTCTTTACGAAGCAGTCCCTCCAGCTCTTTCTTCCCCAAGCTCGCTTTTCCTTGTTCCTGTTGCTCCTACTACACCTCCTCCTCCTCCTCCTCCCTCGCTACTCCGGCCTCCCTCCCTTCTCCCCCGCCCTGTCCCCCCGTCTAACTAGCCCTCCGTGTTACTCTCCTCTGTCCACCCTGCTTCTCTTCGCTTGCCACTTTTATCCACGCTACTATGTACACCAGCCACGGCATAACAACGCGTATATACGTATACACCCGGGTACGTTAGAGAAGAAGAAGGCACACAGGTCGCGGCTACTACAATTCTACGATCCTGCGCGGTGCCTTCAGGTGTGGTATCGCCAGCCATCCTGCAACCGTGCAGGTTCCGCCTGAACTGCTGCATGTTTCATGCGAGCAAATGCACCACCAAACGTGTGCTGCTCTTCTTTCTCCCTTGCAGACTTTTGCACGCGGAATTTTCTTGCGAAAATACGTCGATGTTGGAATATCGAGCGATCTCGATACGGGATCGGATTGTTTTGAACTGGTGGAATATATCGAAAAGTTAGTTTAGCGTACGATTGGATATATTTGGAATTCTGCTTTTGTTTCGGAGGGATTTGAAGCGATTGTTGGTTCGAGGTGAATAGCAATTCAACGAAACATTCGTATCTTATTCGGATCGATGTACCGTTCGATTAATCGCAACGAACGTTGTAGCTATGTTACGTTCGAATCGGACACTCTTTTCGAGACGAGCAACGTTAGTTTTAAGCTGTAAGATTGTTCATTTCGCGGGGACTTTCGAAAGAGTTTCGGTAAATACAAAGTCTTGACATTTACGCGACCTGTATAGTGGGAAATGTCATCGAAACGGTCGATTATCGATAAATGTCGTCGTATTTCAGGTTACACTCTTCGAACCCATGAACCTTGCTTTCTTTTCAAACTTAAACAGTAATAACCTTATTGTGTGCCTTGTTACGCATGCGTACAAATATTTCGATTGATATTTTTTTTCCCCTTTACCAAAGTGTCGTACCCTTGTCTGAATATCGATGGGCAAATCGATGGTTTAGCAAATTTCGGTGTATAAAGGCTTCGCAATTGGAATGTAGAGCACACATGCATAAACAGCTTCCGGATACGTCGTATCGGTAATTTCACGCAAACGAGGTAAATATCAATTTGTGATTCTGTTCATTTTCAAAAACGTACGTTGTCTTGTTTAATTATTTATGCAACATTGGTTCCTTGGCATTTGTCGAGATCATACTGTGTACGACGTTACACAGATTTAGAATATGAAATGAAAAAGAAGCCAACATTTTCTGTTTCCATCTTTTACAAGTACTTTCTACGTTTTAAACAGTAACACTGTATACCATTTGTATATTAAACATTTTTTATAAGTTAACGACAGAGAAACTTCGGTATATTTTTTGTAATATAGGTTAATATACTTGTAAACAAAATTTGCTTTCCTAGAATACGTTCTACGTTTCATAACTGTCGCTATAATACACTAAGTATTGGCAAAACTTCTTTAAACGTGGAGTTTTTAATTAAAGTTTTCACATATCTTACGCTAGTTACGTTTATTTGTAATTATGTTTTTTGCTACATCTTTTAATTTCAATGCAAAATTACATTGGCATATCCCGCTCCCACCAGTTAGGTAATCTTCTGACAAGTAAGACATCATCTGTCCTAATCTTTTTAACTCTGGGATCGTCAGGTCTGTAAACTGAAATTGTATGAACGTTAGGAACGATGAAAAGTCATTTTTCAATCGCTTAAAAACATAATAGTGGTGTGGAAATAACTGTTGACAGGTAGTACTAATGTAAGATAACCTTCATAGAAAATTTAAGAGAAATATCGAAGTACTTACTACACAGGTAGTCGTGAAACTTTGGCTCTCCCCTGTGCTTTTTTATATACAAATTGAATGCATAGCCACTTAGGATCATAGTAACTGCTATAGGTACCACCACTGCAAATGTGGGGTTGGTTTCGTAATATATTCTATACATAGTTTTTAGCTTTTCCCCTGTAATACATCTTATATTAATATATCTTCTATCTATCTATTTATTTATTCTAGAACTTACATCTAGAGGCATCGTACATCTGTTTTATGACATCTGTCGAATATGCAACTCTTTTAATGAACACCATTGTTTCGACTTTATATAACCTCACTAACGGAGTTCGAGGAAAGAGAGAAACTGCGTCACGTGTTACTACTATGAGCTCAAAACGCGGTTAATTTAAAGCTATTCATACAGATTTGTTCGAAAGAATTATTCGACGACGCTCGTTATTGATCTGATTAATCGGTAATAAGTATATTCGGTTAAACGATTATTTCTATCGCATCGCATTCCTTCTTATAGAAAATAACGAAACGTTGATTTATTAAGAAAAAAAGAAAAAATGTTATTGCACTCTGTTCGATTACTTGCATCCATATCCTTTACATACACCTAATAGAACTGGTTTAACGTGGTAATCAGTTTTCATAAAGCAACTGTACTCAATTAAGAAAGAAAATATTTGTAAAGTCAGTGAAAATATAATTTTAGTCGAAAGCTTGTATGCACGTTTCAGTTATATCGTTCTGCCATCTTGTGATCGGCGTGGCAAGTTATAGCTAAATGGCAGTTATGGCCGCCATCGTGAGGCCTTTAATTAGTGACAAGTGAATCGTAGGGGTGTTTTTCATATTCAGTGTTAAAGGAATTGAGTATAATTCATTGGGATCTACGGCATAGGCCCTTATGGGCCTCGATTATCCGGTGAGTAGGTGAATCTCCTTAAATTAAACGCCTAACGCACGAAGATTCAACGCTTTACGCGGTTATTGCACACCCTTGTTCCCACGCACGATTTTTTGCATTCGTCTTCTCAAACGATTTCGTGCTTTTTTAAAATTGTCATTCCAATAATTATTTCTCCCTGGCTCGATATACACGGGAACCAGTGGCCGCGATTCGCCAATTTTAAATAGCTGCATCGAAACTATCCGGAACATGCATTCATATCAAAATTTTCTCATCGATATTTTCCTTCGATAACGTGTGTGCAATTTTTTACTCGTTTATCGGCCATATTGTCGATTTCATAGAAATCGAACATGAGCACGACCGACAGGTACTTTGTTGAAATTTTTAATAAATGTTTACTCTATTTTTGGGGTTAAGTTGGGCCTCCCGCATTGCTCGACGGTCTGTCGGGGGCATCGATAAGACTCGATACTCTCGTGGTTGCTCTATCGGCTGATAGATGCCTCCACGTGCAGTAATCTCGAAAGTATTTGTATACTTTTCGATGCATACACACAGATTATCCTGTGTAAAAGCCTATAAACCTCTTTTAACATATTTTCTAACCTATTCTTTCTTAACATCAGATCACACAACACCGCTGAATCTATTTCTATTTATTCGAGGTTATGTCGAAAAATGTGAAATTTCAATTCGTCAATTCTGATTCAGATTCGAACAGAGTATGTATATCATTTTTGTCTATTCGTTTTTCTGCCAAGACGAAACGATCCAGTTTGTTCGTATTTCGTTATACGTATCGTACATTAAAAATCCACTGTCATAGAAATTCTTTGGTATTTACCGTAAGACTAGCGAACTCGAAATGTCCTAATACTCGACTCGCACATATAACAGGATATTTTTGTTACGCCGTTATTGGTGCCAGGAATCGCTATTATTTATGAAATACTTTGTCTTGGCTGGCGCGTCGACGTCATTAAAAGCGATCCGCTGGTCAAAATACGCGTACAAAACATTCCACTTAATCGTTCCTTTCGAGAATTTCCCGGAACGATCAAAATTCAACAAATTAATTTCTCGAAAAAACAATTCGTTCATTTGGCCACGTTTGTATTCCTTCGATTCTGCCCACACCAAAAATACCATCAACCCTGTATAACCTTAAACGTTTCTAATCGAACAAAACACACGTTTCGACTTTGCTCGAAACAAAATTCCACATTCACTTCCGCCATTTTGCTCTCAAGTTTCACGCTCGGTCCTATATAGTACATACTCTGTAAGATTCACTCGTCCAAGTACAATTACTCTCGCGACAAGGAAGAAATAGGTGAAAAAAAAAGAAAAAGAAGAAAAAAATAATCGCACGCATAAAACATACGCGTACAGATGAGAGAGAGAGAAAAAAGAAGGAAATAAAAAAGAGAAGGAAAAGAAAAAAGAACACGGTTGGTGTACCGCGATAAATCGTCTGCCGCTTAATTGGCCAGTTTTTTTCCGGCCGTTCGATGCGAATAGTTCGACGAAAGAAACGAGCAAGAATTGACAGTGATCGATTCGCTGGATTCGACTGGTTGCTGTGGTGGGTGGTGGAGGGGAGTTTCGCGATAATTACAAGCGCGTTTCTTGCGATGGTCGCGCTCGACGAATTTCTGCCTCGCGATCCGGTCCGCGTCTCCACGGTTTTCAGGTTAGTTTGCGCCACGGAATTTTCGTGCCGTTTGGGGGAAAAAGGCGAACGGGAGAAGACGCGTCTCTCTTCGTAACCCGGGCAAAAAAAAGCCACCGTTCACGAGATACGGCGACACGTGCTTCCACAGGACCACACACGTGGTTCTCCCTAGTTTCTATCCCCTCCCCTTTTATGTCTTCCTTATTTCGACCGATTTTTGCGCGCGCACGCCTCCGATCGCGCGCCTCCCTTTTCGCGGAATCGGAAACGGATCGGCGTTTCGATCTCGCTTCGGCGAGAGTATCGTGAGCGGAGTGAGATGAATTTTCGAGAAGGTTCCTATCGTCTGCGAACCTTGATTCGATTTCTCACATTTTTTCAGTTATTAGGTGATCCTATAAGCTCGTGTCGAAAGTGAAAAATATGTTAACGAAAATCTAAGGAAATTCTGTAGAGACCACATAATGGTCTTACCAAAAAAAAAAAGGAGAAAGTAGGAAGAGAGGGCGCTTACATTTTTTTTCTTTTTTTTTTTATCAAATTTAAAGGTCTGAAAATATTGGTCTATACTGTAAAATTCGACACGAACTTCTGTGATGACGTAATATTTTCGAACTGTTATTTGTTAGGTTAGGGTGCCGATTGGTGGAAATCATTCCACTTATGTCTGGCGAAAATTCATTTTTCACGTAATATTGTCAGCTCTGATAATTAAATATCGAGATAACGGAGTTTTTTCAACGATAGAAATTTTATTATTCTTCTGGTCCTTCGGTCTGTGCGTAGTTATCTCGCGGTCGGGTGTTTGGTTCAACAGAGAAAGAGAAAAGAAAAAAGGAAATAGTATGGCAAGAAAAATTTCATTTAATCGGAAAATGAAAAAATTTGAAAATTTGGCTCGGTGAGACTAACTCGCGAAAATTTTCAGCGATGCAAACGCACCAGAATACGCGTGACTTTCAGTTTTCTTAGATTAGCGTGGACACCTGTTGCTTCGTCGCCAAAGAATTACATGCGTTTCGACTGATTTACAACGAACGACGTATTAATACGTCAGAGTGTTATCGACTGTTTTCAAGTACGATTTCAACGACATTTCTGCTTTTATCGATTGCTATAGCAACGCGTTTAATTTCTTTGTTTCTCCTCGAGAATGTGTCTACAAGAAGGATATTACCTCTTGCTGTATCGCAATTTTATCGAACGCATTAACTTTCAGCTTGCACGCCTGACGCAATGAAGCTACTCGATGCACGTTTCGTTGCCATAAGAAGAGCAGCGTGTTTTTTCTAGCTACCTTTTATTTCTAAGCTTCAGATTTTGCCAATTCTACCTATCTGCGATCTCCGCGGCGGTGAACTCGCCCGAAAGATCCTCGAAGAGATACGCCCGTGTACACGAGTCGAACCGATATTTATTCATGGTCCCGGTCGCGCGGTCACGTTCGCACCTGCGCGACCATTTCTTCGATAAAATCTACTCCTGTCGCTGTGCGTTCGATTTCTTCCCTATTCACCTTATCTCGCTGGTCCTTCCAAGCCTTGGCTGTTTCTGAAAATTCGCGTTTGCTGTGACGTCGACCGATACGACGTCGGATCAAGGAGAGAATTTTCTTTGGAGTTAGAAGCTTTCGAAGCTTCTGGACGACCGCGATTATCACACGAATGCAATGTTTAGGAGCAAACGCGAAAATATAGAATAAAATTTGTTCGCATAATTCCCGGGATAATGGGATTTAAAGATTTTTGAAATTTCGCGTCCACTGTAATATCGACCGATACGACACTCTTCCAAACTTCGGATCAAGGAGATGATTTTCTTTGGAAGCTTTCTGATGACCGTGATTATTCCCAAAAATGCAGAGTTTAGAAGGAAAATATAGAATAAAATATAGAAATATAGAATAAAATATGTTGGTAAAAGGCTTAATTCTCGAGAAAATGGAATTTAAAGATTCCTGAAATTTCGCTGCCACTGTAATATCGACCGATACGACACTTTTCCAAACTCCAGATCAAGGAGATCATTTCCTTTGGAATTAGAGGCTTTCGAAACTTCTTGATGACCGCGATTATTCTCGAAAATGTGAAGTTTAGGAGCAAGCGCGAATTTTCTTTGGAGTTAGAAGCTTTCGAAGCTTCTTGACGACCGCGATTATTCCAAAAAATGCAAAGTTTGGAAGCAAACGCGAATTCTCTTCGGAATTATATGTTTTCCAAGCTTTTGGACGAGCGCGATTATTCCCAAACATGCGAAATTTCGAAGCAAACGCGAAAATACAGAGAAAATGTATCGATAAAAGGCTTAATTCTCGAGAAAATGAAATTTAAAGATTCCTGAAATTTCGCGTCCACTATGTTACCGACCGATAAGACACTCTTCCAAACTCGAGATCAAGGAGATCATTTTCTTTGGAATTATAAGCTTTCGAAGCTTCTCGACAACCACGGTCACCCCCAAAAATGCAAAGTCCAGAAGCAAACGCGAAAATACAAAAGTCTCAATTCTTGAGAAAATGAAATTTAAAGATTCCTGAAATTTCGCGTCCACTATGTTACCGACCGATAAGACACTCTTCCAAACTCGAGATCAAGGAGATCATTTTCTTTGGAATTATAAGCTTTCGAAGCTTCTCGACAACCACGGTCACCCCCAAAAATGCAAAGTCCAGAAGCAAACGCGAAAATACAAAAGTCTCAATTCTTGAGAAAATGAAATTTAAAGA